TATCGATGCAGATGCCCAGAGTCCCAAGAGAAATAAAAGTCTTCATATCAAGGAACATGCTAGTCTTCAGAGTACATGGCTGATAGGGTGGACGGAGATTAAGGCATGAGTGACTGGCTTATAAGCTTTGCTGGGTATGCTTACAGTTAAAATGTATGAAAGGGACAACTGCTACAAGACTTCCACCAAATGACTTTCTCCAGATGGGTCTGGGTAAGAGAAGGCGGGGAGGATGCTGATAGGGTTATGATTCAGTTGTGAGTGACTATTAAAAGGGTTAACTGTGAAACCTTGTAACTCTTAAGTGGGTCTAAAATGAGCTTTCCCAGGAGCAGGAAGGGGATCTCATTACCATCAGAGAAGCTGTGAGTGGAGTGCATCTCTGACCTGGAGATCCCTGTGTACTGAAACTCTTCAGCCTACAGACATAAAACTGTGGCAACAGAAGAGTAAGAGAGGAGCAGCAGCCGAACCAAGACCCAGAGCACCAGACGGAGCAAGTAAAACTGAGTGCCTTCTGGGGAGGAGTCTCACTTGTTGAGTAGGGTGCCTCCAGACACTTCATTGGGGAGCTAAGTTTTCTGATCCACAGAGTTAGAGCCAAGTGCTTTCAGGCTGTGGCTTAGTGCTCTGTGAGCATTATCAGCAGCCCGAGAAGAGTTCTGTAACTTTGCTAGACCTGGACCAGAGAGAGGCCTGCCTGTGGCAGAAGAGAGGCTGTCCTAACTGGGAGAACTGTGCCCTGAACATTCCCGACCCTGAATTGTAACCTATTAACTTCTCTAATAAATCCCATAGTTGGGAATATGGTGTCCAAATTCTGTATGGCCATTTCAACAAATTATCTAACCCAGTTTAGTGTGCTGAGGAAGGAATAATGAGTGCAGTTTTGTTTTGTTTTGTTTTTGCACTGAACAATTCAGTATCTGTGAGAACTTGGGGAAAGCATTTAAATTTCATGAACCTCAGTCACGAACTCTGGTAGCGTAGTGGGCTGTGTTGAGCTGTTGACTACAAGATCCAGAAGCTCTGTAAGAGAAACATGAGGTTTTCTGCTCCCATAAAGATTTACAGTCTCAGCAACTATTACTGAATACTCACTATATACAAAGTAGTAGGAGGCTTGTTGTTGTTAAGTACCGTTGAGTCAATTCTGACTCATAACAACCCTGGATTTCCAAGGAGCAGCTGGTGGTTCAAACCAACCTTGCAGTCCAGTGCATTAACCCACACCGCCACACCAGGACTGCAATAGGTGGCTAGGGTTACCAAATTTAAACAAATCAAAACACAGCAAGGAACATACTTATATTAATGAAATATAAAGTTATCTGGACATCCTGTATTTTATTAGTAACTCTAAATGAGGTACATGTTTGGACACAAGTGAGACAATTCTTTTCCTCAAAGCACCTACAGAAAGCAAGAGAAATTAAATGTACTTATAACCAATATTATACCAGGAAGAAAAGTTATTATGAAACATTTTTTAAAGGGGGAGGAGCACACACACACAAAGGGCACTGTGGCAACACAGTAAAGGGAGAAGAGGCTGGTCAGAAGAAACACTCATTAGAATAAAGATGACCGTGGACAGATAGATACTCAGGCTGAACAGGATGAGAAGGAGAGGGAGAGTATACCCACCAGTATATAAGGGTTTGAAAGAGGATACTTGTACACTGGAATTTACCTATGAATATGGTGGAGCATACAGCGGGCAAAGTGATGAAAACTTCTTAGATATTACTAAACATCTTAAGGCATGAGTTACTGGGCCTGGGGGCTCAGGACCATAGTTGCAGGGGACACCATGGTTCTACATCCTACTTTGGTGAGTAGCGTCCGAGATCTTAAAAGCTCATGAGCGGCCATCTAAGGGACAATTATTGGTCTCTCCATGTGCTGAAGAAAGAAAAGTGATGAGCACTGAAGACACGTGGAATCAATTAGTCCAACAGACTAATGGAACACGTGAACATCAGTTTCCACAACCCTGAGACGAGAAGAACTAGATGGTTCCTGACCAGAGAGCTGCTCTATCCTACCACTACCAACTGCTTTGAAAGAGATCACATTAGAATATTCCAGAAAGAGTAGGAGAAAATAGAGAATAAAACTCAAGATTATATTTTAAAAAAAAAAGACTTGACTTGTCAGAAAGAGACTCGAGGAACCTGAGAATATGGCCTTCGGCCACTCTTCAGGTCTGGAACAGAACTCACCATGGTGGCCCAATTTTCAGCCAAGTAGTATGGAGGGGGGATGGGACAACATCACTAGTATGATGTATGTTCATCATGGAATGAGCATTCAAAATCCAAAGGGCAGCATTTACCTAAGGACAAAGTTGAGGAGGGATGGGAAGGAGGGTGGAATGGAAATGGGAACTACAGGGAGGATGTGGGATAGCTGTTGTTGCATGGTGGACAGTGTAATCATTGAGATGAAACACAGTGTGTGATTTGTTGAATGTGAACCTGATGATATTGCCTATAAACCTTCACGCAACTCACAATAAAACTTTTTTTTTTTTTTTTAAGTATGACACAGTTCTAAATTATAGCCACAATTCTTGTCATGGGTTAAACACAAATTCATAAGTCATTTACCATCTAGTCACTCAAACCAGTTTACACTTAAATTATTTCAAATGGATATACATTAACAACCTCTTGACAGAAATATATACAAAAACAGCAAACTCATAATCTTCTGGCCTTTTTCCCTCCCAAATCTACCTTCAGTTTTTATACCTGATAATTTTATCCAAAATTTGATTATTAAACTCTAACCTGTGTGGATAGGTTACATTTTCATCCCTTTTCTCACTCTGAACCCTCCCCCAAAACTGACATCTCTGCCTCAACACTGTGTAGCTTTGTAATCATCAGAAAAGAACAAAAGTGCAGGTCCTTTTAACGAACTGCAAAAAATAGTAATGCTTCTTGACTTTCTATTTCCTGCTCCACAAATCTGCAGCTGTCTGTTCTTACTGCAGGCCTAGTTACCATTCTCCATTACACAAGGCAACCCTGATCCTATTCCACAACAGGAAAAATCACATTTCCTTAGAATTAAATTCAATAATCAGTAGCATGTGTTGCAAGACATGTGTACAAAGGAAGTGTAGTAAAGGAAAAGTCTCCTTATGTTGTTCATTCCCATTAACTCATTTATCAGATACCATCACACAACTGTACAGCTGAAAAGGATTTCAGAGCTTATTTAGCCTTCATTCCTCATTTTACATATGATAAAAATTTAGGGATACAATCATTTTGTCACTAGCCTAAACTCATAGGACAAACAACCAGAAGCCATAGCTATACTATCACCTGTATCTTTAGACTGAAATTTAAAACACTGCTTGAATTATAATTCTACATTTTTTTCTGTTTGAAAATATACAGGAATTTATAAATTATGTAACTGCTATTGTTTTAAGTGCCATCGAGTAGGTTCTAACTTATAGCGACCCTGTACAGGATTTCCGAGGAGCAACTGGTGGGTTTGAAGCACAGATCCTGTGGTTAGCGGTCCAGTGTTTATCCTACAGCACCACACCAGGACTCCTCTGACTACCGTGGTACAGTGAATTTATTTGCTATGGCTCTTGTACCCACTATCTTAGTAACTCCCACCAAAGGAACAGGTTATTGTTGTTAAATGCCATCGAGGCAATTCTGACTTGTAAGAACCCTGTATAGAGTTTCCAAAGAGTAGCTGATGGGCTTAAACTGTTGACCTTGTGCTTCACAGTCCAGTGCTTACCATAACAGTGCCACACTAGGAGTCCATGCAAACAAAAGTGTACAGGACTCTTAATGCAGGGATTCGTTGGTTTTATCATTACATGGGTTTTAAATGAGCCATCTCAGAAGCAGGAATGGGGACTGCCAAGACCATCAAGAAAAAAGAGACAAAAGCAGAGCCCACCTTTGAGCCCTGAGAAGCAGAGATGCGGTGGCGGGGGTGGTGGGTGGTGGTAGTAGCGGCAATAACAGCACACAGAACGACATGTTTCCCCGCCCACAAAATGAGAACAGCTGAGTGAATTCGGGCAGGAGACTGGCTTGAAGAACTGGGTACTCTGAGCATTTATCAGCAGCACCACAGGATCTTCTAACTTGTCTAAGTAGGGCAGAGACCAAGGGGCTGCTTGGCTAACAGGCTGCTGAGTCTCTTCATGCCCGCTTGTGAATCGGAAGTCAGACACCTCTCCACGCCCTTTATGAAAGCACTCAAACTGCAACTTAAATCACTAATGTCTCATAATGTTGTTGTTAAGTGCCATCAAGTCGATTCCAACCCATAGCCACCCTGTATAGGGTTCCCAAGGAGCAGCTGGTGAACTTGAACCAGCAGTTCAAATGGCTTTGCAGTCTGACGCATTAACCCACAGCAGCACAACAGGACTCCATGACTCATAAAAAAGTAACCTAAATTTCAGCTTGACTAAAAAAGAAAAACAGAGCAGACACATCTTTATATGAGCGTGTAATTTCTAACTATATGAGGTAGGGTGAAAAAAAAAGTGTATAATATCAGTATCAAACCTTAAAAGAAGCACATTATTATATATCTAATTCTTGAAAAACATCTCTACTTAGAAGATATTAATCTTAATAGACTAACTCAGGCTATGTGGATTTTTATACTCCATTGTCTTAGATTTTTGGGGTTAAAAAAACCCTGACCATCAAAAATTATTAACTTGATGAAATAACTGTCATTGAACAATGTATGTGGAAATTGTTGAAATGGCCAACGTTTTGAACTTTTAAAAGTACGTGGAAAAATACAATTAAAAGATAACAAAATTTTTAATTTTGAAGTCCCTTTGTATAGTTGCCCCAAATTAAAAAAAAGTTACTTTACTTACTCATCTCTTAAAGAGATATGAGTGAAAAGATCCACTTAAAGTTTATAATCATCAAGTGTTATCTGATCATCAGTGCTGTGATATTACTAAAAACCATCTTTTTCAAACAACTTACCTTTGTTGAAAGTACTTTAAATGTGCTTTGTTCTGGTATTACAGGATGAAGAAGTCTTAGTTTCAAACTGTAATCCTCTCCAGAAGGAAGTTTCACCAAAGCAGACAACTGATGAACAAAAAAATTACATTTTGTAAATTTATACAAGGCTCAAACCTAATGATCCCAGGTTTCCCCTACTCTCGAAGAGAGCGTTCCTATGAATCCTCATGTAAGCCCAACCAGAGAAGCAATTACCATTAACATGGGAACAATTTTTGAGTGTTCCCAAACCTCAAAATCTACCTACCAATCATACCAGATAATACACAAGCCCTAAAACAGCACATAAATACAGTGTTCTGACACTGTGCAAAGCTATGGTGACTTGATCTGAGACCTCGGTGAGGCCACCCACGCTGGCATGTGCATTGCTCTTCAATGTCTCACCCACTGCAAAGCTGGGTGCTAGATTCAGTTTTTGCAAAAGCAAAAATCCCCTTCGGATTTCTTTCAGTTGTCAAAAAGCAGCACTGAATGTTACCTTTCATAGAAGCAAAGTGGAGTAAAGCAAATTTTCAAAAAGCAGGAATACTCGTATAGATTTTCAATATTGTTGGAGTACATTTTAGCTGGAATATCAGATTTAAGATGAAAACCTCAAAAAAAATCCTTACTTTCATTTGGTATTCTTGACATGGATTCTTATCATAAAATCACAGAAAATAAAACATTTCATAAAACAGTGTTTGGAATTTAAATCTCAAGGAAATTCACTAAAAAACACCATGTATAACAACTATATATATGGCAGCATATAGTTTATTAAATACTGTGTGAAGCATCATTAGGGTCTCTGCTAAATGCTAATGAGGTTATTAACATCATACTCATTTGCTACAGTTTAATAATTGTAAGACATGCATTCATTACACAACAAAAACTGATAAGCCTTTGTCATGGAGCACACCACACAACATAACCAAGTGATGCATCTCATTAATGTTAACCAAGTACCGTTTTGAATTCCAAAGTCTAAACAAAAAGAAAAGAATGACATGTGGCAATACAGGATAAGCTCTGGACTGCTAACTGCAAGGTCAGTGGTTCAAACCCACCAGCCACTCCTTGGAAAGCCTATATGGGGTGGAACCAACTTGATGGCACTTTAACAACATTAATAGCATATAGGGAGCACAGTGGTTCCATAGGATAAACACTGTATTGTGACCCATAAAGTCACCGGTTCACAAGCTGCTCCGCAGGAGAATGACAAGGTTTTCTATTTCTGCAAAGATCTTAAAGGCCCGGAATGCTATACATGGTCGCTATGAGTCAGAACCAACTCGGCAGCCCTAACAGCAGCAGCATAGCATAGCATATGTGTATCTCAAAATGTAAAATGATTCAACATGAAAAGCAGTGCTTAGATCTTAATTCAGCATTTTCTACATAATCAGAAACAATGGCATCTAGCTATAAACTGTCTGATATTCCTGCAATATAATAGTATATTATATTGTATATATAGTATATATATACAATATATATCTGCAAATACTAGCATTCAACCTCAACATTAAAAAAATAATAATTCAAAGACTGTATACTGACCTCTGTTTCTGAAAATTCCACATATACATCATTCTTCTGAACATTCTTAATCATAAGTGTAATGATTACTTGAGATTCTGTTTGATACCAGTCATACCTATTAAAAAAAGAAACTTTAGAACAAATTTTCTTAAAGTTGTTGTTCCTTTAACGTTCTGTCAAGATGAGCCAGTCTGTGGCAGTACTGCAGGGTATCCATCACACCAAGTTCTCAGGACTAAAGCTGGGTGCAAAAAGCCCCAAGCCCAGATAGCAGAAGTAAATTAGCTAAAATTAAAACACTAGGAATTCAATGGTGGATTTTTCAGTGCTCCAAATACCATAATTATTATTTGATGTTTATATGATCTCCTCTACTGCTTCCACCAGGAGAACAGCAGTTCTATAAGCAATGGACTGCAAACCACAAGGTCCTCAGTCTGAGTTCGCCAGTCGCTCTGTGGGAGAAAGATGAGGCTTTCTACTGCCATGAAGATATAAAACCTCAGAAATCCTATAACCAGAGCCTTGGTGTGGCGCTGTAGGGTTAATGCACTACGCTGCAATGTTGGTTTGAACTGCAAGGCCAGTAGTTCAAGCTCACTAACCACTCCTCAGAAACCCTCTACAGGGTTGCTATGGGTCGACAGCACTTCACAACAACAATGTGAGTCAGAACCACCTTCACAGTACTTAACAACTGCTGCCACCAGACAGTTCATAATTTTCTCATCTACTGTGTCCTTAGAGTGTCATCCTGTAACTCTCTAGAAGTAAAATGAATAAATTAGATGGTTTTCTCCCCTAACATTTTCAAATAATCTTAAGTGATTAGATCATAAAAGCACCTGATGAAAAAAATTGTATTTAATAACAGTTTCAATCTCTTTGAAGCTCAGTGAAGATGCAAAGTTCCAACTCAATGCTTTCTTTTTTTTTTCAGCCTTAAGAATACATTTTGGACAGATGGTTAATGAAATTATTAAAAATAAATTCAAATATTTGCTAGCTGCTTCATTATGATAAATGCTTCTATGAAAATTTTATTTGAAATATAAAAGGCATTTGTTGTTGATGTTATATGCTGTCGAGTCGGTCATAACGACCCTGTATAAGGTTTCCATAGAACAGGTGGTGGGTATGACCTGCTGACCTTGTGGTTTGCAGTCTAGTGCTGATCCTACAGCACCACACCAGCAGTCCATAAAAGGCACCGAAAGTTACAATTCTGTTAAGTTTCCAAACACCAAATCCACTGCTGCCAAGTGATTGTGACTCCTAGCAACCCAGGAGGACAGAGTAGAAGTGCCGAGATTTCAAGTCTTTAAGAAAGCAGACTCGTGGAGCAGCAAGTGAGTCTGAACTGCCTATCCTCAGGCAGACAGATGATCACTTTGACCATTGCGCCACCTGGGCTCCTTCTGTTAAGCTTCAAACTTACTTACTTGTGTAATAACATCAATTTAATATATGGAACCAGGCAATATAACTTTAAAGTTGAGAAAAGTTTTGAACGAAACCCAATTCACTAATTCAAAAACAGTTATGGAATTTGTTTTTGATAAGGCCATAATGCAATTTTCAAAAGCACACTAACACTTAAAATGGCAGAGTTTTTACTGTCCACATTAGGTATATTTATCATGTGTATGGTTTTAAGAAGAAGAAATACTCACTTGATTTTTGGCTGATGAGTTGGCTGGAGATGGATTTTGGCAAGTTGAATGAGAAAGATTTTTACAAGTTAGTTTTAGAACTTTACATTAAAATACATGTTATTATTCATTTACACAGGCCTATGGCAGCAACTAAAAATAACAAGTTACTTGTAATAACCAATTGGAAACATTTTTCAAAGTCAAAGCATGATATCCATAATTGTTCTAAAAGACAGTACTAGTAGTCTTCACAAAAAATATGTTTAGCATTTTCAAATTTTTCATTATTTCAATTTCAAAACAGATTATTCTTTTAAAATGAAAAAAACATAAACAAAAGACATTATAAAGGTCTGAATAGAAATTACTCATGTAAAATGTTCAGTTTAAAATTCAGTAAATAACTCCCTAAACTTAAAATAGCTTTTGTTAAGTGCCATTGAATCGGTTTCAACTTATAGCAACCCTGTATAGGGTTTCCAAGAGCGCCTGGTGAGTTTGAACTGCTGACTTTGTGTTTACCAGTCCAGTGTTTACCCTACAGTGCCACACCAGAGTCCGAGAATAGTAACATTTAAAAATTTATTCTCAAGAACACAGGATATTGTAACATTCAAATAGTACTCTGAAAGCACCTGTATGCATTTCCATGGTGCCGTCTTGATAGTTAATAGTCTTCTGTTTATGGCATCTCCACAACAAACACTGTACAATGCACATCAAAAACAAAATGACTCTTGACCAATCCATACCTTCCTGAACTATATGTGTGTCAGTTAAGACTATGCGAATCTAAAAAAACACGTACTGGGTCTTAGGAGGACTCTGGGTTAAAAAAAAGTAAGAACAAGATGGGATTTGAGAAAATGAAATAAGTAAAACTGCTCTAGAGATGTGTATCTAACTCCAGAATTACTCTCCAGGAGTAAAGATTGAGGCGTGCCTACATGGCACAAATGGTTAAGTGCTCAGCTACTAACTGAACCCTCTCAGGCCAGGCAATCTGCTTTTGAAAATGCTAAGGAGCAATTCTACTCTGCACACATGGGATCACCATGACTCAGAATCAACTCAGTGGCAACCAATCACAGCATTAAAAATGGAAAGGGCTAATGGTGGTAAGAGACAAAATTCCTGTTTTCTATATAAGAGACAAAGTTGGAGTTCCAGCCAATGCACCCCACACGTAGTTCATCCATCTGTCAGTAGAGGCTAGTGTGTTGTGATAAGACTGCATAGGATTCAGTGGAACTTCTAGGTTAAGAAACTAGGAAGAAAGGCCTGGCAATCTCTTCCAGAAATCAGCCAAGGAAAATGGTATGTTTCAAAACAGTACAAACCACAACGGGTTATAGGGACGGCACCAAACGGGGCAGACAGTGTTTCATTCTACTGTGCATGAGGTCTTCATGAGGAAGGGCTGACTAGAAAACTGCTAACATTGTTTAGGAATGAAATCTACCTGAAAAGATAATGACTAGAACAGATTATTTTAATTCACCTTGGTACCAGGATAAAACTAGAGGCTAACTGAGGCTAAACAGCTGTTGGCTTAACTTGAGAACGTCTTTTTCTTTGTTACTCATATGCCATTCTGCATTTTTCAGGACTAGTTCCAATGCCTAAGGAGTTCTGGTAGAGCAGTGGTTATGAGTCAGGCTGTCAACCTCAGGGTAAACAGTTCAAACCTACCAGCCATTATGCAGGAAAAAGATGAGGTTTTCTGCCCCTATAAAGATTTACAGCCTTGGAAACTCTATGCAGAGTCGCTATGAGTTGGAACCAACTCCATGGCACACCACCACCAGTACCAATGCCAAACATAGAATCTGACTAAAACTACTAGCAGACGAAGATGGAAAACAACTTCTAAAATTTTCGAGTCCATTCCTGTTTCCTACCTTGAACCCTACCCCAAGGAATATGGAGGTACAAGATAGATGGACAGGGCTCACTTTTGAAGATATTCAAACCTTAGTCACTATTTATGTGCCTATCATGCCAGATACACACAACGACATGGGTCCTATCAGTCCCAGTTTACACATAAGGAAAGTTAAGGGACTGAGTGACTGTCTCAATGTCACAATGCACTTCTGGAAGATAGACATGTCAGTTTTAGAAATGAAGACAGAAATTCAAAAAGGTTAATTGCTCAGAGAGTTAAGACTACACATTGTCTCCTGACTCCTAATCATTTTATTTCATGACTAAGTATGCAGAGGCTCAGGGCTAAAAGAGTATTATTTAATCATGCATTTTGGAAGTCTGTTGACTCCCCATAGGATAAGCACTAGACTGTGAGTCACAAGGTCGGCAGTTTGAACCCACTAGCTGCTCCGTGGGAGAAAGATGGAGCTGTCTGCTCTTGCAAAGATTTACAAGCCATAGGCTTATAAATTTTCTCTAGGAGTCAAAACCAACTCAATGGCACTAGCAACAACAGGAGTCATTCATTAATATACGTGAATTCGTTTAAAAAGAATACTTTTTAATAACTCTAAAGATGTAAAGACCTTCATTATAAAATCTAATAAAATATTGATAAATATTTCTAAATTTTAGGTAACCTTTTGAGTCAGCATACCATACAAAAATCCTGTAAGTTATTCTAAAAAAGTACAAGGGGGCTTCAAAAAAGATAATAGAAGTTTTCTACAAAACTTTGTGAAGACTCATCATAATTGTTTAACCTAAATAAATGCACTATTTTCTAATACAGAAAAAGTAAGTAAGAATCAGCCTGACTGACCATACTAAAATATTCCAAACCAACTTGGGCTACACAGTAAATTCATTAAAATAGCCCAACAACTTTGACTATAAATTCCTGTTTAACTGACCAAAAAATTTATTTCGGCTACAAAGGAAGAGATATCTAAATAAGATTGCTTACTATTTATTTGCAAACTTATTCTGAGTCCTGTCCCAAATATATCCAGCTCTTACAATATAAACCTAAGTAAAAACAAGAGGGATTAAAAACTGGGCTACTTACCTTTTCAGATTCGGATCCTATTAAAAACAAACAAACAAAAAAAAACATGTTCACACAGGCAAAGTTACATACATGATTTCACTGGTATAAGCAAACACTGCCAGTAAGTCAATCATTCATGTATTTCTAATAAAGGAAGGTCGTTTAATTTTGCATTATTTTACACTCTTCAGGAATTTCTTACCTCTGATACCATAAAACAACTACAAAACAAGTCCATCTCTATTTCAATATTGTAAACTAGGCAAAATTCAACACACCTGAGAATCTGTACCTATGGGAACATGTATTACTTAAATTATATATAACAAAGTGAAATACAAATTTGTTTAAACCAAAAACTATCAAAAGTTTTCCTCTGTTTAAATTGGGAAACCTTTATACGTACCATTTTGAGCTTCTTGACACCTTTTAATCCAGACAATGAAATTACCATTCTTACCTAGAAAGCAAAAACACCATAACATCACTCAGCTGTACAACTTAACACACTTATTCAACAAATACTTAAGTACTTACTATAGGTCAAATACTATTCTAGGCACTGGGGATTCAACAAAGAATAAAATATATACTTTCGGAGCTTATAGCAACTCTGATGCTATCTATAGCTATAAATAATAATTCATTTTTCATCCAAAGGGATTGAAAAAATGTTTTTTAACTACTTTTTTTAGTAAACAAAAGTAGAAAAGTCAATACTCAAATTTATACAGAGGGCAAAAGGGACTCTGAATAGCTAAAAGCAATCTTAAATTCTTAGAATAAAATATAGAACGTGGCTGTAGAACCTCATATTTAATGATGGATTATCAAAAATGACAACAAAGCAAAACACAAAATAGATAAACAATTTTGTTCATCAAAGGACATTACCAATAGAGGTACCAAAATAAAAGGAAAAAGAAGCCTACAGGTTGATAGAAAAATTTCAGGAGCCAAATTATCCAATGTTGTTGTTGTTGTTAAGTGCCACTGAGTCGATCTGAACCCATAGCGACTCTACATAGCGTTTCCAAGGAGCCGCTGGTGAACTTGAACCACAGACCTTGCAGTTTAAATGACTTTGCAGTGTGATGCATTTTTGTTGTTGTGAAGGGCCGTCGAATCGATTCCGACCCATAATGACCCTATATAGGGTTTCCAAGGAGCAGCTGGTGAGCTCGACCCACCAACCTTACAGTTCAAACGACTTTGCAGTCTGATGCATTAGCCCACAGCGGCCACACCAGGAAACAGCGACCTTTCATTTTAAATTACTTTGCAGTGTGACACATTAGCTGGGTCCAATATATCCAAAATATATTTTAAAAACCTCTACAACTTAGAAACAAAAAACGTACAAAGGATTTGAACAGAAATTTCACCAAAGAGAACATTCAAATAGTCAGTAAGTGCAAGCATATGAAAAACTGCTCAACATAACCAGCCGTTCCCGACAACTTACTGCTATCAATTCCCACTTAGGGAAGCCCTATAGAAGAAAGAGTAGAATTGCCCTGTAGAGTTTCCAAGGCTGTTTGTTATCTTTACAGCAACAAACTGTTGTTGTTAAGTGACGTCCAGCTGGTTACAACTCACAGCAACCCTGTACAGGGTGGATTTCCGAGGAGTGGTTGGTGAGATTGAACGACCGACCTTGTGGTTCAAACCAACCTTGCAGTCCAGTGCTTATCATACAGCGCTACATCAGTACACCACAGAAGCAGACTGCTACATATTAGGCCCACGAAGCAGCTGGCGGGGTAAAACCACCAACTTTTCACTTAGCAGCTAAGCAGCACCCTGTACAGGGTTTCCGAGGAGCTGCTGGTGGATCTGAACCACTGACCTTGCAATTAGCAGTCCAGTACTTATACAGATATGCAAATCAAAACAATTAACATACCACACCTCACCCCCATTAGTATGGCAATGATTTAATTAAAAAAAAAAAAAAAGGAATACAACATGTTGGTGTTAGTGAGATGGCAAAGAACTGGGATCCTCATCTATGCCTGGTAGCACTGTACAACAGTGAAACCACTGTAAAAAGGATCATTTGGTGGTTCCTCAAAAAGTTGCACTGAGTGTCTTAGAACAGTATAACCATAGGACCCAGTAATCCCAATCCTTGGTATGTACCCAGAAGAAGCAAAGCCAAAATGCGAACAAATACTTGGATACAATGTTCATTTTGGCACTTTTCACAATAGCCAAAAAGTGGAAACAGAAATGTGGTGATACATGCACACAATGGGATACTATCAGTCATAAAGAGAAATGAAATTCTGATGTATACCATGACATGGGTATACCATGAAAACAGCATGTTAAGTAAAATAAGTCAGTCATAATAAGACCAACACTGTATGATGGAACTTAGATGAAATTAACCAATATGTAGACTCCAAAATGATTCATGGTTACCATGAAGATGAGAGAGGGAGGAAAGGAGGCATTTTCTTTAGGGGATACTGAGTTTCTGTTCATGATAGTGGGATAATTTAGAAAATAACAGTGCAAACAGTTTAATAGAATCAGTACCACTGAAGTATGCCTGTAAAAAGTGTTGAGATGGTGTATTCTTTGCTATGTGTATCTTTGCAACAATTATTTAAACCCTTCCAAACTCTTCCCTCTTCCTTCCTGTGTTCACCATTTATTTTCTTCCTAGTCTCCTCTCCTTAATTCTTACCACAGTCAATCTCACTGTTTCCCAGATACAGATAATCCACATTTCTCCCACTCCTTTGCTCTTCAAGGAGATTCCTCACTCTCAAGAAATCGGATTCCCAATATACTGTCAGGGTGGCATGGAGGCCTGGTAACTGGCAACTAGGCTGAGGTCCAGAAACCTCACCTTGACCCAGCTTGCTCTCCAATGCAGCCACTTACTCTGTTTACTAGTCCCTCAAAGGCTTCATTTGTTATCATACTTTTACTACCAACAGCCAGAAGCATCTTTATGTTTTGTGGAGTTTTGTGCTATCTCCAAGTTATATAGCAGTCAAGAGATTATAGATGGTGAGTCATGTATTTACTGACAGCAATGTAAACATGTACACAAAGAAAATACTCACAGAACTTGAGTCCAAGCAAAGCAACTAATACAATATAATGTGAAGAAAAATAATGAACTCATCCCCATGGCTCAACTTTCAGCCAAACAAGAAACAGACCTAAAATGTGAACAATAACACCTAGGAGATATGTACTCCTCAGAACCATCAACGACAGGAGATCAAAAGGGCATCTGCCCAGGGAGAAAGCTCAGAAGGCAGGAAGGGAGAAGGAGGATAAAAAGAAATGGTAGAGACAGGAAGGAAGTGGGAAGAGGGTAGTTAGTTACATTGTGAGGTTGCAATTATGTCATGAATCAAACATGCATAAGCTGTTGAGTGGAAAAGTCAATTTGCTCTGTAAACTTTCACTCAAATCACAATAAAAAGTTTTTTAATAAAAGAAAACTTAAAAGCACTCTAAGTTTACTAATTCAAGCTAATTACCACAAGATTAATCTAAAAATTGAAAAGCAATGAACTATTTTTTAAATTTCCTAACCTTTTCACTAATATGTAAAAGGAGTTACACATACAAGTATTAATTAAAATTCACGTGTGTACATACATATATGCAACAGAACCAACAAAATTTGAGACTGCCAACTATATTCTATTGAGAAATACTACATAGATATCATAGATGAATAACATATTGCTGTTAAGTGCTATCGAGTT